AAAAAAAAAAAAAAAAAAAATACGTACAAAGTACAATGAGGATAACAGAGATTTGGAGTGGGAGGTATGAAGAGTGGCTTAATCATCTGAAAGCTGCAACATGAAATAAGAGGGTGAGAGATAACTAACCATCATCACAAAGAAGTACTAAGAAGTTAGGTTAGAAGAGCTTACCTTTTGTTGTTGGAAGATTTACTTGACCTTTGGAATGTATAAATCCACAGTGAACTAAGGCTTTTGTCTTTTAATAAAAACAAAAAAGATCCATTTCACTCACCAATGTCAGAAGTCAGTGGTTCACTTGTCTCACTGACTGACACACTGATACTAGGGGCAATCTGTTGCTGGATTGGAAAGAGCCCAGAGATAATTCTTGACATTATTTCTTGCTCTACCCTGAGCGGGGGAGGGGCAGATAAAAGTTAAGATTCCTCAATTTAATTGAAATGTTAAAAATGCTAGACATACCACCCTTAAAAATAACCTTTACCAATGCCACAAACACATGTGTGTGAAAGCAATCATTCTGAAAGTTAAATCTAGAAGAAAAAAAAATAATAAAATGGGCTGGGCATCATGGTGCACACCTGTAATCTCAGCACTTTGGGAGGCCACGTTGGGCACACTGCTTGTGCTCTGGAGTTCAAGATCATCCTGGGAAACAGGGCAAAACACCGTCGCTACAAAAAATACAAAAAATTAGCTGGGCATGGTGGTATGTGCCAGCTACACAGAAGGCTGAGGTGTGAGGATGGCCTGAGCACAGGAGGTCAAGGCTGCAGTGAGCCATGATCACCCCACTGCACTACAGCCTGGGCAACAGAGTGAGACTCTGTCTTGAAAAAAAAAAAAAGTACCTCTGAAGAAGATAAAACACACTAAACAGAATCTCCTTGTGGGAGATAGTTCATGAAATCAAATTAAAATCTTTCAGATATGTCTAATGAAAAGCTTAACAGAACTCCTAAATTCAAAATAAGACTTGGGTCAATGACATCATGTACCTAAACTGTTTGATTTCCACTGAGCGCACATATAAAAACCATATAAGATCAGAGCTAGAAAAGAAGTCCAGCTAACCTCTCTTCAAGGAAATAAACATATAGGCTGTAAGACAGACTGTACTATATTACAGCCTATATGTTTATTTTATATTACAGCCTATATGTTTATTTTAGTACTTATCAGAGCTAGAAAAGTCCAGCTGCCCTCTCTCCTCAAGGAAATAAACATATAGACTGTAATATAGCACAGCTTACATGTTTATTTTAGTTTTCCTCTTAAAATGTAAAGAAAACTATATCTCCAAGGTCATCTTCGGGAAGGGAAAAGGGAACAGGAGACTTCTAGAACATTTTTTTAGAGCAGCTAACAGACTTCTTAAACATTTTTATTATATAAATAATAGGTGTTCATTGTTAAAAATTTAGAAAATTTATGAGTTTAAAAAACTGATAAGGCTGACCTATAATTCTAGGTTCAAGGATAAACAGAGTTAATTTGGTATATATGTTTTTTCCAACTTCTGTTTTATGAAAACTTTTTTTTTGTGAGACACAGTCTCACTCTTTAGCCCAGGCTAGAGTGCAGTGGCCCAACCTTGGCTCATTGCAACCTCTACCTCCTGGGTTCAATCGATTCTCTTGACTCGGTCTCCTGTGTAGCTGGAACTACAGGTGCATGCCACCACACCTGGCTAATTTTTTTTTTAGTAGAGACGGGGTTTCACCGTGTTGGTCAGGCTGGTCTCGAACTCCTGACCTCAGGTGATCCATCCGCCTTGGTCTCCCAAAGTGGTGGATTACAGATGTGAGCCAATGTGCCAGACTGCACACTTATTTTTGAGTAAGATCTTGTAAACTAGGGTTACATTGTTAGTAACCTGCTTCATTTACATGCCAGTATATTATCAATATCTTTTAACATCACTAAATTTCTTCTAAACCTAGTTTTCATGACCATATTAATATTCAGTCATTTCACTTATTCCATAACTTCCTTAAGGTTTCTTACAAGTAAAAATACAAATAATAGAGTTCATTCCATATTCATGTGTAATAACAAGTTACAATTGTTATTGCAATATGTAACAATGATAACATATTACAACTTGTTGTTATAAGTGTGTAGCAAACCTAGGACAGTGCCTTCTTTGTAGTAGCAGGTATTAAATGGCCTAGTATAGCAGTCAACCTTTATCCCCAACCTTTTGGCACCAGGGATTGGTTTTGTTGAAAATAATTTTTCCATAGATGGGGAGGTAGGGGGGTTGGATTTGGGATGAAACTGTTTTACTTCAGATCATCAGGCATTAGATTCTCATAGGGAGCATGTTACCTAGATCCCTCGCATACACAGTTTACAATAGGGTTTGTGCTTCTGTGAAATCTAATGCCACCACTGATCTGACAGGAGGTGGAGCTCAGGCAGTAATGCTCACTTACCAGCTGCTCAGCTCCTGCTGTGCAGCCTAGTTCCCTGGTTCCTAATAGGCCACAGACCGGTACTGGTTGGTGGCCCTGGGGTTGGGGATCCCTGGCCTGGTAGCAAACCATAATTACTGCCTTAGGATAAGTTTCTGGAAATGAATCACTGGATTAAAGAACATGTACATTTTTAAGGCTTCCTAATAGTCTACTTTGCCAAAACAGACAGACTGAGTACAAATATTCAAGGACAAAAATAAGACCTCCAACAATAGTTAAGCCCTCGGCATTACATCAAACACTTTCCAGTGACTAAAGCAAAGAAGGTTTAATAAACAAAAGAAGACAAGAAATATTTTCAGCCACAATTTAATATTTCCCATTTATATTTGCTACTATAGTTCTATTCATACCAACACCATTGTAAACTTACCATTGAATTAAGTTATTTTCCAATGTCTCTTTTCTCTCAATTACTTTATCCAGAATGTCAGCCGTGGGCTGAAAAGTAGAAGCAACTGGCGGAAACGGAGGACCATTATATTTTGTAGAATCAGCTTTAATGCTTCTGTTAAACTCCAGAATTGGTTCAGAGTCTGGAATTTCATCACATTTTTCCTCTTCCTGGTAGTAATAAAAACAAAACTATTCTTGTATTTGTTCAAGATTTACTCAGTACCAATTATAGGCAAGGAACTAGGTGAAATAACCAACATTTCTAAATTAACCAACAGCATTTCTGATTAGGTGGTATCACATTAATTACAACATACACATTAGTCATACATATCATGTTGAAGAATCCTTAATTACATAATCAGTTTGTCTTTTTAGAAACCAATATTCATTGAATGCAACCATAAAATAAACTAGAAAACGTAATTATTCCTAGATAAAACACAATTAACATTTCCTCTGGAAGTGTATGAACTTAATAATTATCATTAAAAAATTGATGCATCCTGATATGGTTTGGATATTTGTCCCCTCCAAATCTCATGTTGAAATGTGATCCCCAGTGCCCAAGATGGGGCCTGGTAGATGGTGCTTGGGTCATAGGGGTGGATCCCTCATGAATGGCTTGGTGCCTTCCGCATAGTAATAAGTTAGTTCATGTGACAGCTGGTTGTTTAAAGGACACTGGCACATCCTCCTCTCTCTCTTACTCCCTCTTTTGCTTTGTGACACATCTGTTCCCTCACGGCCTTCTACCTAAGTAAAAGTTTCCATGAGCAAATTACATCTCTTTTCTTTTCTTTCTTTCTTTTTTTTTCAGACAGAGTTTCCGTCTTTTCACCCAGGCTGGAGTGCAATGGCATGATCTTGGCTCACTACAACCTCCATCTCCTGGGTTCAAGCAATTCTCCAGTCTCACTCTCCTGAGTAGCTGGGATTATAAGTACCCGCCACCACATCCAGCTAATCGTTGTATTTTTTAGTAGAGACAGGGTTTCACTATGTTGGCCAGGCTGGTCCTAAACTCCTGACCTCAGGTAATCCACCCCTCTTGGCCTCCCAAAGTCCTGGGATTACAGGCATGGACCACCTCACCTGGCCTTAAATCTCCTTTCTTTATAAATTACCCAGTAATTCCTTTATAATAATGCAAAATGGAATAATACACTTCCAAAATCACTTTTTGCTCTTATATAACTTATAATTTACATTTAAATATGCAATTAGGTCAGTCATCTGACAAATTATCTGCATTACCACATCATACTCAATAAAATTATTTCTGGAATTGTTAAATTTTTTATTACGAAAAATATCATATGTGTTTAAACAAATAGTGTCTATGTAATGTGTCTATTATATAAATAGCATGAATTGCATTTATCTGCTCCCCAACTTTAAAAATTATCAACTCATGGTCAGTCTTGTCTCATCTAGCCCCTCTCCCCTTCACATATCATTTTAAAGTAAAACACAGAAGTCATATCATTTTATCTATAAATAATGCAATCCAAAACACTTTGGTATCTCTAAATACTATAACTCAGTAATATTATCTCACTGAAAAATGAAGTCTACAGCTAATAAATGGCAAAGCTACTACAGGAACACTGTCTTTGAATGCTAAATCCTTTGCTACTGCTATAACTGTTTCCTTCACTTGTATATTAGATAAACAGTTACCAAGTACCTTTGCTAGGCATTAGGAATATATAACTAAGGTCCCTGCCTTCAAAATTCTCATGTGGCACTCAATATGAGAAAAGACATACCTGTGAGTAAATAACATGAATATACTGTACACCTCTCCATATTCTAAAACTGGAGATCATTTTATGATTAAGAAAACTGGTCTTAGCTCTAAAAGTCAAAGAAACATGAACAAATGTCTTCTTTAAAGTCTACTGACATAATATTCAAGTAGTTTCAATGTTCTATCATTTTGTCTCCCATTCTCTATAATTTAATTCTGCCTATTTTTTCCCTCTATTTCATTATTTCTATCATTTCTATAACTCTTTGTTCTATATGGGATCTTCTTCTGGATTATAGATTCCTCAAAACTTTTTTTCTCAATATAAATTAATTGGTCGCCTCATCATGAATGCAAAAATCACAATAGATAAATGCAATAGAATGAAGAAAAGACAAATTGAAAGAAAAGAAGCCAAAGGAAGCAGGAAGAAAGGAAGCAGGAAACAGCAGAGACAAAATCTAGGTAGGAAATGGCAGACAACCATGAAGTTTCATGAAGGAAGATAGGTGATATAGATGAAACACAATACTGCGTTCTAGAATAACAACTTTGTAATTTTTAAAATAAAAGTATATTTAATTTATATATTAAGTAAAAGGAGGTATCTAAAAGCATTGCAACAAAATATTAATAGTCAAAAGATAGTCAATAACCTGGAAAAATAACAGTAGAAAATAATTTCTCATGGTTTCTAAGCTTTGTTACCTGTATGACATCGATTATTTCATCAAAGTTAGTTCCTGGAAACTTCACCTCTTCTTCATCTATCTTCACAATTTCTGGAGTCTAAATAAAGCATTTTCAGAAAGTTTTTGATGTGCTTAATGCTTTTAAAATTTATAAGTAATTTATCATCTTTCCACCTATAAGCTTATAATTACCTGGTCCTTTTTTAAAATTTTATTACCCTATTCAGAATTGACTTAACTTGTAAATGAAATCCAAGCTAGTCCCCAAGCCATTAGGTCACCATTTCAATAGCTATAAAAAATTAATCAGCCATTTTTCTGTAAAAAACTCTACCAGCAATATAACTTAATTGATCAACAGGTTGATAGAATTGAGACTTCTCTTCTAGAATTAAGAGAAAGAAAAGTGTTTACATGTGTAGATATCTAAGTATACATATATACAAACTCACAGAAAGACAGATACAAAATCAAATAATTCAGGAAAATAAACGAAATAATCATTTAAAAAAATCTAACCTTTAGGCCTTACTATATAAAGTATAGTCACACAATAGCCACTTACTGACAGCAGAATGTCTTACTGAGAACAGAATGATAAACAGCCCAAAAATGTATTACTTGTTATCATAGAAGTTTCAATAAACTTCTGGTTTATTGAAAATTACTGATGAAAAATTCAATTAAGCACAAACGTCACTTAGGGTCAGTTCTATTTCTTTTCTGGCTTTTTTTTTTTTTTTTTTTTTTTGAGATGGAGTCTCGCTCTGTTGCCAGGCTGGAGTGCAGTGGCGCGATCTTTGATCATTGCAACCTCTACCTCCCGAGTTCAAGCGATTCTCCTGCCTCAGCCTCCTGAATAGCTGGGACTACAGGTGTACCCCACCATGCCCAGATAATTTTTGTATTTTTAGTAGAGATGGGGTCTCGCCATGTTGGCTAGGATGGTCTCAATTTCTTGACCTTGTGATCGGCTCTCCTCAGCCTTTCAAAGTGCTGGGATTACAGCCATGAGCCACTGCGACCAGCCCAGGGTCAGTTCTATTTCATTACTTGTGATCATGAGAGGCTGCTGGTGTTCTCTCTGCTTTTAAAACTGTATCCTCGATGACTAAATTTGCTCACAATAAACAAAACTTGAAGTAAGTTACATTGCTATTTTGCTGTGTAGTAAAGCCATAGCTTCATTATTCAAAAGCAAATAAATACCAGGAAGAAATGCATATTTTTGTATCATGTCTACAGTAGGATAACAAGGTAACATTCCAAAATATAAACTCCAATTGTCACTATAAAATTCACATTTAGGAAATCTATAATTCCCATGGAAATCAAAGATTCATCACCAAAGAGAAATTCTTTCTTCACATGAGAGTTTCACAACTTAAATTACCAAAATGTTACACTAAAGAGTATTACTTGCCAAACAGTTACAAATGTAAGAAGCTGAAACAAACTTTCAAGTTCATAAACAATTCAAAATTTGTTTTGGGCTGGGCGTGGTGGTTGATGCCTATAATCCCAAAACTTTGGGAGGCTAAGGCAGGGGGATCACTTGAGGTCAGGAGTTCAAGACCAGCCTGGCCAACAAGATGAAACACTGTCTCTACTAAAAATACAAAAATTAGCCAGGTGTGGTGGCAGGTGCCTGTAATCCCAGCTACTTGGGAGGCTGAGGCAGGAGAATTGCTTGAACCTACAGGCAGAGGTTATAGTGAGATAAGATCACGTCACTGTACTTAAGCCTGGGTGACAGAGCAAGACTCTGTCTAAAAAAAAAAAAAAAAATTTTTGTTGTGAATCTTTTCCTCAAAATCTAAATTTTTATAGTAAGTTATGATAAAATGCTTTAAATGGAGTTACATTAGTTAAAATCCACAATCAGACATTACTCAAAATAATATGATAAAATTCTGAAATATACCTTTATCCAAGTTTGCACAGGAGGAAGAGATGCTTCCTTGGGACTAGGCAGAGGTGAACTGACATCAGCACTACCATTTGAAATGCTGTCGATATCTACACTGGGCAATACCTAAAACAGAATACAACATTTAGTTTTCTGTTTATCATTTTTACTCAAACATTTTTATGTGGATGTTTATATATATGTATATGTATGTGTATATATATATACATGATGTAAATATATGTACGATGCTTTGTTTTTATGCATATATGTATACATACATATATATATGTATATAGACATGTATATATGTACGTATACATAAAAACAAAGCACGCCCTTTAAGTTTTTATTGTGAAGCCAATGGATAACAAAATTTTTAAATTATGAAAGCATATTTTACAAAATGTGAAAAATAAAGAGGGAAATACACAAAATTCTATCTTAAGATAACTTCATTTTCACTATTCCCTTTGTCTTTTACTACCTACTTATACATAACTCAAATTTAAAATAGTCTTCATTCGGCCGTGCCTGGTGGCTCATGCCTGTAACCCCAGCACTTTGGGAGGCCAAGGCAGGCGGATCACTAGGTCAGGAGATCAAGACCATCCTGGCTAACACAGTGAAATCCCATCTCTACTAAAAATACAAAAAATTAGCAAGGTGTGGTGGCACACACCTGTAGTCCCAGCTACTCAGGAGGCTGAGGCAGGAGAATCCCTTGAACCCGGGAGGTGGAGGTTGCAGTGACCCAAGATCATGCCACTGCACTCCAGTCTGGGTGACAGAGTGAGACTCCTTTCCAAACAAAAAAATAGTTTTCATTCTTGATTTTTCATTGTGATTACAATGAAGAACCATAAATACTTTATCATACTTTTGTACATATTTCATAATTACATTTTTAAATGCTATATAACATTTCTATAAATACATGTCTTCATTATTTAATTAAGTTCCATTTGGAAAATTTTCCAATTTTTCCACTATCATATATATATATATATATATACACATACACATATACATATACATATATATATATGAATGATAGTAGAAAAAAATATATATATCACTGCAAAATATATATATCACTACAAAAAAACTTCAAATACACACACACACACACACACACACACACACACACACACACACACACGGAGTTTTCTTCCTAAACTCTAAATTAATTCACTATGCTAGATAGCCAGATACTGGATCAACTTTCTGAGCTACAGGACATGAATACTTAAGATTCTTGGAATTACTGGTGAAATGTAATCCAAACAGCCTCTATTTACATCATCAAAAACATAATTAATTCTAAGTTTTATCCAACTCTCACCAAAATTAGATAATATGATTGTTTCAGCAATAATAGTTTTTAAATGGAAGCATATTATTATTTTAATTTGTATTATCTTGATTACTGGCAAAATTTATTCATTTTGCTTGCTGATAAACTGTACTTCCTCTTTTGTAGAGTCTTATTCATGTCCTTTGAATATTTCTAGATTGAATCTATGTGTTTTCTTATTAATTTATGGAGATCTTTATATTTAAAAACTAATGCTTTACTAGCATCTTCTTTTTATAAGTTCTTACTGTGTACTGCTTGCCTTTTAATTAAGGATTTTCCCCACCCAATCTGGATTCCTCTAATTTCCCCAAGAATTGACTGTGCTAGTGATGCTCATTCATTCAATACACATTGACTGAGTTTGTACTTGGCTCAGGAAGCTGTCCAGGCTCAAGTGTCCCAGGTCTCCCAAAGCCTCCACCGCTGCCGCCATGGCTAGGTTAGTGAACCTGCACTGTCAGAAGGATGCCCAGGCTGCTGAAGTGAGGAACAAATTTGGGTTCATGTTGAGAGTTCCCTGCCCTGCAAGAATGACTGGGAGTTCAAAGGTTCTACTCCAGGCCAGGGCTTTATTGTGCATTTGCTCCTATCAAGCACAGGGCAAGGAGTCTTCCTGAGACCCACTGACTGTCTCAGCCCTAACAACTTGGCTGTGAAAACATATTGTCAATTTTAGCTGTAGGGTAGAAGTTACTCTACAAGAATGATGAATTTGTGGAGCTACATGGGCGATTTCTAAGTCTCTGGGAACCTCTCAGGCTGATGGGTTGAGGCTGTTCTGTATAAATTTGTGCAGTAGAAATGGATGGTTCATTTGTTCAGGGAGCAGTATGCAGTCAAAAATCAGTACTAAGAGCCTGATGACTGTTCATGTGGTGGCATCTGATAGCTCTAGGATTATCTTCTCCTCAGTGGTCAGGATCCAAGAATGAGGCAAGTTGCCCATACTAAGTTGCCCAAGAAAACTCATTTGTCCTGGCTCAATCACGAGAAGAGAACCCTGGAGCAGTCTAAGGACTGGAGTGTTCTAATTACTTGTAAGTAAGCAAGGATGGTAAGATGAACACAGGGGTTGGAATAAATTAGCGAAAAAGTTTACCATGGTTCATGAACACTTTCCTACATATGCCTCCTGACTGGTCAACAGAAAATCACACGTAAACATTCATGTCCATTTTTGCCCAGACCTAGTGAAGACCTCAGCTTCTACAGCTGGATCCCAGGCCGATGGGTAGATGTTTGAATGTGGAAGTCAAAGGGTTTCTTCCCACATGAGAGTGTTTAAGTCTTGTATTCATTCAAGTCTTCTAACATATGTTAGTGTAAAGTTTCAAGTATTAATTATATAAGTCACAAACATTAACTTTTAAAAATTAATTATAATACACAGTTCAACTGTTCCCTTTGGAATATTATCAAGCCACTTGTAATAAGTCATTGGCCTAGAAGAATAGCTTAAATCATCCAAAACAGGATAGAGACATCACATTAATATCACAGTTTTAAAAATAAAGGAACCAGCCGGGCACAGTGGCTCACACCTGTAATCCCAGCACTTTGGGAGGCCAAGGTGGGTGGATCACCTGAGGTGATGAGCTCGAGACAAGCCTGGCCAACATGTGAAATCCCGTCTCTACTAAAGCAAATACAAAAAAAGCTGGGCATGGTGGCAAGCACCTGAGGCAGGAGAATTGCTTGAACCCAGGAGGTGGAGGTTGCAGTGAGCCAAGATCACACCATTGCACTCCAGCCTGGGTGACAAGAGCGAAACTCCATTTAAAAAATAAAAATAAATAAAAAGTAAAGGAGCCATGATGAAAGCAGTATTTTCATGAAGCATTAAAATGAATTTCACTACCAATGTTAAGCAAAAAATTTTTTTCTTCCTTAAAATTTTCTACTCACACACCCTGACATACCTGTACAGTAAGCCGAGGAGGGTCCTTTTTTTCTGACTTCATTTCTACAACAGCTATGTTAGCTTTCTTTACTCCAGTTTCTACTTTTCGAGATGATGGAGGAATAGAAGTAGTCACAGTTATAGGGTGTGGCTTGCTGACAATCACTCCAGCAGGTGGCATAGAATCACTATTACTTTGGGTTTGTCCTAAGAAGTTTAGGGGAAAAAATAAGTCAACTAGTTCAGAAAAAAAAGAGAAATGTCGAATACACCACCTGGATCTTAATGGCTATCTTCTCATACGAAAAAAAAGTCCTATCTGACAATCACCTCTCTCTCCATCATCAGCATTATCAACATGGTCACCATACGCAGCGACTTTTACTAGGGAGTTATATGTACTAACACTTTACATCACTATCTAATTTAATCCTCAAAATAAAGGCGAATATAAAGCTATTAATATTATCCACATTTTAAAATGTCAAAAACTTTCACTTCCAAAGTCCTACTTGTTTTCTACATATCAAAGTAAAAAGGGTTAGTACAGTGTACTTATTGAAAACACAGACTGTAAAGCCAGACTGCCTCTGCCTGGGTTTGAATCCTGACGCCATTCCCGTTGTGCGGCCTTTGACAAATTATGTAACCCCTTTGTGCTTCAGTTTCTTTAGCTGTATAATTTGTATATTACCATGTGCTTTATAGGGTGGATTAAATGAGAGAATATATGTAAAGTGCTCAAAACTGTACCTGGCACATAGTAAGGACTTTAACAGTGTTAGCTATTTTATTACTAGAAGATATGTTTAAACAGAGAGCTTTTATGTTGACACGCCATTAACCCATGATTTCAAAAATAAAAAATTATCTTATGTTAAAAAATATTCATACTTAAATCATTAATCAAAACAAAAGAATAGCAATGACACTAACGGGAAAAAAGAGCCAATTAGACTTGAAGAGCTGGTGTGAGGACAAAAATGATCTGTTTAATTTTTAACAAGACAACTCAGAGAATACAAATAAGTAAATAAACAACTATTGGCTTAGATTACACACCTACACAGCTTTCACTATGATAGCCTAGTTCAAAAGTACAAAAAAGTACATGAATACTTCCCCAAAGACATAATGGTATTAACAAGCCAATCAGACTTCTTGAATTATTATCAATGTCTATGATATATTTAAACTTTTCTTTTAAGAAACAGGGTCTTGCTCTGTTGTCTAGGCTGGAGTACAGTGGCATAGTTATCATTTACTGCAGCCTCAAACTCCTGGCCTAGGCTGAAGGGATTCTCCTGCTTCGGCCTCCAGAATAGCTAGGACTACAGGTTATTCCACCAAGCCCAGATAATTTTTTCTTTAAGAGACAAAGTCTTGCTATGTTGCTTGGGCTGGTTTCAAACTCCTGGTCTCAAGCAATCCACCCATCTCAGCTTCCCAAAGTGCTGTGATTAAAGGCATGAGCCACTGTGCCCAGCCAAAACATTTTTTAAAACTTCATTCCATCTACAATAATATACTATAACCTATCGAAAGAATTCTTCCTGCTGGTGAAACTAAAGCAGGTACCCACCAGTTCAGGGACTGCTATTAAACAGCATAAAATACACTCTGAGCCCCTCCCCACAAAAACAAACAACATTTACAGGAAAAGGCAGGTGACTATCATATTTGTACCATGTTGTAAGCTCTGCTACGGCTGATAAGAATTTAAAATTCACAGGCTGGGCACGGTGGCTCAAGCCTGTAATCTCAGCACTTTGAGAGGTTGAGGTAGGCAAATTGCTTGAGTCCAGGAGTTCCAGACCAGCCTGAGCCACGTAGCAAAATCCTATCTCTAATAAATAAACAAACAAATAAATAAACAAAATTCATCCCCCATATTTTGTTGGGTCTTACCTAAAAGAATTGCCATAGGAATCAGATGACCTTCCAGTGTACCTGAAAAAGTAGGCATTTCTCTACTTGGGCTGAACAAATACTGCTGATCGCCATGAGGTAACATAGGAATGGAGTGTTTCGTTTTAGAATCCATCTTTATCGGTTTTGTTGCATAGAAGTCAGTCTGTGTTCTTATTGACTTTACTTTAGTGCCTATAATAATTACGAATGGCAGACATTTTTAAATATTGTTAAAATATCTACTATCCAGCCATCTAGAAATACAATAGCTCTTCACAGAAAAATCTCAATTCTATATATAAAGTTACAGGGCCCCAAAACAGAAGTAATATATAGATCAGAGGTGCCAAACTGCTTAAATGGCCAGATAGTAAATATTTCAGTCTGGTAGGCCACGTGATCTCAGCTGTAATGACTCAGTTCTGCTGTTGCATCATGAAAGAAGCCATGGACAATATTTAAATGAAGGAACACGGTTAGATGCAAATAAAACTTTATAAAAATAGTCAGCTCACCTGTAGGCCATAGTTGCCGGCCCCTGAATAGATAAACAACTTGTACAGCTACTATGACAAAATAGATACAACTAGAAAAAAATGTTAAATAAAGATTCTAAAGAATATTCAGACAACGTTTGAATTCATTAAATGTTTTTCCATAGGTACAAAAAAGTTAATGATCATTTTTGGAACTGGATGATTTTCATTTTTTCCTTACACCTTTATACATAACATAATTCTGAATAACCAGCCTTTATATTTAAAAATTATGTACAGATAATCTAATTCTATACTTACCTAAACCTTATGAATTAATATTGTTATATAGTAGGCCCTCCTTATCTGTAGTTTCTCTTTCCCTGTCTCAGTTACCTGGGGTCAACCTTGGTTGGAAAATATCAAATGGAAAATTCAAGAAATAAATAATTCATAAGTTTTTAAAAATTATTAATTATTATTATTTTTTAGATGGAATCTTACTCCACCCAGGCTGGAGTGCAGTAGTGCGATCTCAGCTCACTGTAACCTCTGCCTGCCAGGCTCAAGTGATCCTCCCACTTCAGCCTCCAGAGTAGATAAGACCACATATGCACACCATGCCCAGCTAAGTCATAAGTTTTACACTGTATGCTGTTCTGAGTAGCACAATAAATAAAGTCTCATGCCATCCTGCTCCAACCTGCCCAGGACATGAATCTTCCCTTTGTCCAGGGTATCTACACTGTAGACACCACATGTCCATTAAAAACTTAGTTGCCATCTCAATTATCAGATTAAAAAAACACAGTAGATGTTATAGCTTGGTACTACCCATTGTTTTAGGCATCCATTGAGGGTACTGGAACATATCCCCCATGAATAAGGGAAGACTACTGTACATTTTTTTCTGTTCCTATGATGTATACATTTGTATGTTGCCATTATAACCTAAATCTTAAAAAATAAAAAATATGACTTTATGTCTTTGAAGAAGTGGATAAATATCTATGGAACACACAAAAAAAGTGAATAAAAGAATAAAGTAAAAGGGCAAAGGAGAAGAGGCCAAAACATTTTCTAAATAATTTCCTGACATTATATTTTCACTTTTAACATGTAGGTGCTTTTTTTTTTAATGCAGAAACCCCCAAAGTTTTAGTGTTTAATAATTAATAGCACAACTGACCAAGGTCCAAGATGTGAAGATACCATGTTCAAGAAACTGGGGGGTAAAGTGCTCTATAAACTGACTATATAGTATATGATAAGAAAGCACATTTTATAATATAAAACCTGTCTACACATAGTATTTAGCTGCAAAAAGCCATTCAATCTTCTCTTGGCTCGGAAAAATGGTGTTCCAGATTCCAGTATAAATTATAAGCAACGCTTAACTCTCTTTTTGTGGCAGATATCTTGTTTTCACCCTCCAGTTCTTCCATTCCAGCCCGTGTCATGAGGTCTGTGATGTTCTTCTCCAGATTATCAATGTGACTACTTAAATCATCAATTCTCCCAATGATCTGGTCAGACATGGTCTGAAATTTATCTTGCATCTGCTGCAAGAGTGTCTGCACCACTGAGGTGAGGTCCTGTGCAGTCTTGGGGTCAGGTCTCAACCACCTCTCCAGTACCCAGCTTGGTGGTGATGTCTCAGACCATCACCTACACTTCCATTTCACATGTGGGTGTTTTTATGTATTTAATTTTTGTTTTACAGAGACAGGGTCTTGCTCAGTTGCTCAGGCTGGAGTGCAGTGGCCCTATCATAGCTCACTACAACCTTGAACTCCGAGGCTCAAGTGCTAAAGCGATCCTCCCATCTCAGCCTCCCAAGTAGCTGGGACTACAGGCACACCCTGCTAATATTTTAAATTTATTGTAGAGATGGGATCTAGCTAGGTTGCCAAGGCTGGTCTTGAATCCTAGGTCTCAAGCAATCCTCCTGCCTCAGCCTCCCAAAGTGGTAGGATTACAGGCATGAGACACTGTGCCCAACCTATAAATCTAGACTTTTAAATATAGGTTCCTTTTGTTTATGATCCCAGGAAGAAAAATTTTAGTACCATGTCTATATTCTTTCATCTTGTTTTCTGATACTCATTCATTCTATTAAATGAATAGTTTTCTTGAGTGTTTATATAAAATGTTTTTTCAGAATTCAATATGTGTTAAACATTGTTTAAGGCACAAGGAATACAGAGGTGACTAAACCAACTGTACTCATGGAGTCTACAGTCTAGTAGTGACAATAAATAAATAATAAAACAAAGAAACAAAAATATAACAACAAGAAGTGTGAAGTGCTATGAAGAACAATATGGCAGGGTGAGGAGATAAAGAGGAACAGGAGATAAGTCTTTGAATAGAATGGTCAGGCTAGATCTCTCTAAGGAGCTAAAATCTAAGAGCAGAGATGGAAGAAATGAGAGAGAGAACCATGCAACTGTTTGAATGAAGAGCTCTCCAGACAGGGGAAATGGCAGGTATTGAGGCCCTAGGATAAGCATAAGTCCTTAGGTTCTGATATGGCTTGGCTCTGTGTTCCTACCCAAATCTCATCTCAAACTGATCCCCATGTGTCACAGGAGAGACCTGGTGGTAGATAACTGCATCATGGGGACAGTTTCCCCTACTTTGTTCTTGTGATAGTGAATTCTCATGAGATCTGATTAAAAGGACATGGCTTTCTATGCTCCCTCTCTCCTGATGCCATGTAAAACATGCCTTGCTTCCCTTCTGCCGTGACTGTAAGTTTCCTGAGGCCTCCCCAGTGCAGTGGAACTGTGAGTCAATTCCACTTTTTTTTCTTTATAAATTACCCAGTCTCAGGAAGTTCTTTATAGCAGTATGAAAATGGACTAATACAGGCTCTCAATCACTTCTGACCATTAAAAGGGTGACTGAATGAAGTTATTTTCAGATCTGAAAGCATTTTAAAATCTCAAATTATTTTTTGCAGACTTTCAAAATCCCACACGTCAATTACTAGCAAAGCTACACTAGGCCAGGCACGGTGGCTCACGCCTATAATCCCAGCACTTTGGGAGGCCAACGTGGGTGGGCCACCTGAGGGCAGGAGTTCAAGCAGCCTGGCCAATATGGCAAAAGCCCGTCTCTAATAAAAATACAAAAAAAATTAGCCAGGCGTCATGGCACATTCCTGTAATCCCAGCTACTTGGGAAGCTGAGGCAGGAGAATCGCTTGAACCCTGGAGGCGGAGGTTGCAGTGAGGCTGCAGTGAGCTGAGACCATGCCACTGCACTCCAGCCCAGGCGACAGAGCAAGACTCCATCTAAAAAAAAAATATCAAAGCTACACTAAATAAGAGAAAACTTTAGGGTAAATATCATCCATTGGGATAAATATCACCCATAAGCTACATGCTTTCCGTTTTAAAATAATGTAAGTAAAATTTCTATATAACCTGACATCTGTATGATTACATAACCTTTAGAAAGGAAAGGGAACCAAAGTAACCACCACAGCGCCAACTTCTACTAAGGATAAGAGAGGAAAACGGGTGTGTGTCTATTAGATATCACATATTGTCAACTGTAGCTTACTGATCGCTAAGTAGAAGCTGATAAACTATAGTACATAACCAAAGTTAACAGACTCAGTATATAACCAAGAGTTATACTTAAATATACAGTACCAGTGAAACAGTAGATGTGACTCAAAACACACAGTGATAAATGAAGATGTTTTCAGTTGTGCACAAAGGCAACAATAAAAGTTTTCACTTTTCTACCTAAGTCTCTTTTAAAACAAAACTGCAAAAGTACCCATTAACACTTTTATGATAATGAACAGCATATGGCTGATCTTTCTGTTCATAAGAACATAACGGACCAAGGTCTTTAGGGAAATGTCTAGATTATAATTTAGATGCTCAAGATTCATCATCACCAGCCTAGGCAATGTGGTGAAACCCTGTCTCTACAAAAAATACAAAAAAAAATAGCCATGTGTGGTGGTGTTTGCCTGTCGCGCCACCTACTTGGGAGGCTGAGGAGGGGGGATCACTTGAGCCCAGTATGTCAAGGCTGCAGTGAACTGTGATTGCACCATTGCAATCCAGCCTGGGGAACAGAATGAGACACTGTCTCAAAAAAAAAAAAAAATCATTTTCTCCTAAATAAAACTTTTATCATGCTTTTTCTGAAGATGCCATTTAATCCTACATTTCTTCCCAATTATTCCTATCTTGTGTATGATTTTTAAGTTTCAGCCTATTTCTTCCTACCTCTGCTAAAAGGAATTATTTTTCATCCCCAAGCATTATATAATTTTAATTGCATTTATAAGTAATAAATAAAAAGCAAAAAGAAACTATACATGTTAAACTGATACTACTAAGAAGTGAGAGTAAACACAAAAAATGAGATTCCTTACCTTTAACTCGTTCTATTACTTTTGGTCTCTGTGGTTTGGACTTAGGAGATGGAGAATTAAATCTGAGATATGGTCCTTTTTTAAGAGTGCTTCGATGGCCCTGATAAACTGGCTTTCCATAGACTTGTAACATATAATCTTCATCTTGAATTACCGTGGATGCTTTCAAAAGTCCCTATGTGTATAAAGTTATTCAACTCACCATGAAAGTAGTCATCAAACATTTATCTCATTTTTCTAAAGCCACTTTTGCTAGCTTAAGTACTATAATAAGAATGATCAGGTCAAAAATAACCTCTATTTTAACAGCCCTTAAATTCTAGATATAGATTTCAAGCATTAGTTTGAAAAGCTTTAAATATAAAAATCATCCTCCTAAGAAACATGAAAATTTTTACCTTACTAAGTGTATTTTCAGCACCAAAGAGAAACATTTAAACACATTTTACATATTTATTATATTCAAGTACAATAAAAATACAATAACCTTAACTTTTAAATAATTTTGCATATTCCTGAACCCACATTCAACCATAATCTAAATGTCACAGAAAGGTAGCATTTACTGAGCATCTACTAAGTACCAAGGATTGAATTAGATACTTTGCTGATCTTCTCAACAATCCATATTTGGCACTAAGAAAGTTGCCTAGTTAGAGCACTCAAAAAAACTTCCTCCATACGATCTAGTACCATAGCTTGCATATACTAGGCACTAAACATGCATTTGTTACACTGAAAAAATAAACTATACACACACATGCACACACACACACACACACACACACACACAAATGAAACACAATTTTGAGTACCATCAACTAAAGAATCCAGTTTTTGGTCTAGATGATCTCTAGATACACCTGCTATAACTACAAAACTATGATACCAGGGTGTGAGGTCTCAGAAGAAAGGAACTATCTATTTCGTTCAGTGCTTTTCACATTATAAATCCAAAACTCTAAATATCAATAGTGTAAAAATAGCCTGCATTTGTATAGTCCTTCATATTTTAAAACACCATCACATTTGCTTCATTAATTATCTCTTACAGGAAATGATCGATTTTAACACAACAATTATGTTAAAAGAACAGATTAGGATCTTACTTCTTTTCTCTCTTTCTGTGTACTTGCAGCAGGCATGCCCCTCATAGGTAGATTTCTAAAATGCTCTTCTATTTGCTTTTGGGAATGTTTTCTTGGAATTACAGATTTGTTTACAGTTTTATCTTGTGTGTTGGTTCTAATATCTTTAGTCATATTGTGAGCTTTCTTGGTCCTCTGATTCTTCTGATCAAATCTTTTTTGTTCATAATCTGTTCTTGACAGTTCATCCTTAATATAACCAAAGTTAAAATTACTTAAAATACATCCAAATAGTAATGCTTTCACATCAGAAAGTATTAGAATTTATTTTTTGCTGTTATGTAAATACAGTTTAGCAGTTTTAAATGTGTTAAAAATAAAGGATATTGGCTTTATTGGATATATAAAAATAAAAGTTCTCTGGAAAAATAAATAAAACCCTAAAAAGACTAGTATCTTTTGAAGCAGGGGAAATGGGAAATAATAGAAGGGTTTCAGGGGTAGGAGGACAACTCTGAGTGACAAATCTTTTTACACTTTTTGATGCTTGAACCAAATGAATTTTGTTAACAATTTAAAAAGTAAAACATACGTTTCAAAAAAAGCAAACAATTTTGTAACAAAACTCTGAGGTAAATATAAATTAAAATTATGTGGAAGTTTAAACAATCATATTTTACATGGAATTCATGGCAAAAGAGTGAGATATACTGCCAGTTGACTGCAGAGCCAAAACTCGATTCCAAATCTTCTTAGTTCAACATTTTTGTGTGTGTGCATCTTATAGTACCTAAAATAAATTTTTCATACCTTCATTAGAAATATATATTCTTAAACAACAAAGTTTCAAAATGTATTTCTGTGTTTATTGCTGTGAAACAGTGCTGATGCTTCAGCTTGCTACCATTGTGAGTAGCATATAAGCACATCTACAGTATAAAAAAAAAAAAACACACCTTGCACTCATCTTAACCTGTGTAGTTCAGCTCACTCAAATATATAAAATTTTTAAATTTCCTAAGAAAGATAATTCCAAGACCTTCACAATGCTGGATGTTTGAAGATGTACATTCCTATTGTGGATGTGAGAAAGAGGCTGTTTTTCCATCTGGAACTGAATTCTGTAAACTTAGTAAATCTAGCTTTTTTTTTTTCTCTTTGCACAACTCTGGTATTTTCACTTTGGCGAGCCAATGTTTCTAAATCTGCTGTTTTAAAATATCTTTGCAAGTATAATTCTTTTTCCAAAGACTTTTGCTAAATTTTCTTTCAGATTATTCATGTTTTATTGTCCAACAATTTGCCAAATTAAGAGCCGTAATAGAATTTGAGATAAAGTACTTGTTAAAACTAAACTTATTACTAAGTAAATATAAAGAGTGACAGTAAAATTAAAAATTATAAGTGGATTTTCATATAAGAAATATTTTGAAAACAAGTGTAACGCCTATAAATTGGAATCAATGTTATCTTCTGAGAATTCACTTATCAGTTTTTTCCAAGACATACCTGAATTTCTGCAGAAATAGTTTTAATCCACTCATCCACTGTCCTTCTGATCCTAATTTTCTCTGACATCTCTCTATAAAAGAGAAAAAGGAATTTTCTCAAATTAGCAGTTAATGTCCTGAGCAGGACTTGGATCAGATCTAACTCTTATCTAGTTGTGAGCCTACTAGCCTAATAACCTTCATCTGAAAAGGAAAGGATTTTAGGAAAGTAGGACAGGGGCCTAATATCCTTCATCTGAAAAGAAAAACCAATGGTACTAGTTTTCATCAAATATTTGAAGCATAAATGTTTGAAAAACACATGTAGATCCAAGAAGATATATACCAAAGAAAGAAAAAGCTAAAAGAAAAATTTCCACCAGAAAACAGTAGTACCACCATGTGTATATCCAAATTCCAACTTTATAATAAGTTCTACAACTTGAAAGGCAATAAAGAACCTTTTAAAAAAAAAAAAAACTAAAACATTTTAAGCAAAATAAAGTGCTTAGAAAAAATTTAAGAAGTAGAACTGTCAGCCTCATAAATAATCTCAGATGCCAACATCCTCTTACCTGTTGGTAGATAAAGCATTGATAAGTGAATACATGGCAGCTCCATCTTTTGCACGAATAATAGCTTCCAGGTTTTCTTCAAGTACTTTTTTATTGTTTTGTATTCCTCTCAAAATCTTCTCAGCATCTTTCAATACAGATCTTGTTGTATTGGTTGTTTGAAGCTTAACAGAATTCTGTGGAAGATCTGCAAGCTTCAACATACTCAGAGATTCTTTTGGCTTAAAAGAAAAAAAGACCAAAAGTTACTAAACTCACACTGATTCTTTTAATCAAAACAAGGGCTATCACTATCATTGGGGCCATACATTATGCCAATATATTCTAAGGACTCAGTTTGTCAAATTGAAGACTTACAAAAGAATACTTGGCAATCAAAGTGCTTTTCCTCCATTTAGAAATACTAATGTGGGCCGAGAACAGTGGCTCACACCTGTAATCCCAGCATTTTGGGAGGCTGAGGCAGGTGGATCACCTGTAGTCAGGAGTTCGAGACCAGCGTGGCCAACATGGTAAAACCCTGTCTCTACTAAAAAACACAAAAATCAGCCGAGCGTTGTGGCACATGCTTGTAATCCCAGCTACTCGGGAGGCTGAGGTAGGACCACTTGAACCTGGGAGGCACAGAGTGCAGTAAGCTTAGATCGTGCCACTGACCTCAAGCCTGGGTGATGGAGAGAGACTCTGTCCCCTCCAAAAAAAAAGAAAAAAGAAAGGAAATCCTAAGGTGAATGTCAAATAAAATAGAGGTGGGAAATCCATAGCAGTGTTGAGTAGTCCAGAGACCAAAAATAGCTCTCTCTGCTGAAGAAAGCTAAAACGAAATAAAAGCAAGATGGCTGTTTATGTACGGAATGTATGGCAGACATTGTGGATTGGATAAATGAGGTCTATTCATTCACGGGTCTCTTTTCCCCTTCCTCCATTTCTAACAGAAGCTAGGAAGTCAGAAGTGGCTACATGGCTCAGTCCTGGTCAAGGGGCGATAAGTAGAAATCACTTGGTGAAGGCCTTTGGAAATATTTTGTAAATGGAACAGACATGGCTAATATGTCTTTTTCAGTGCTTTTTCTTCATCCTTCCTCCTAATTTCTATCTTTATAACTTTTTTATTCCTTTTAATTTTTATCTTAACCAATTATAAATGTTAAGACCATTCCCATTTTACCTGAACCATGCCATTTGTTTCTTTCTTCTTTTGGACAAGGTCATGAAGAACATCATCAGACTTCTGCACAGTCACTTTAGCTGTTCCTAGCTCTTCATAGGAAGGAAATCTTTCAGAAGGTAGAGTTTCAATGCTATAAAAGATTTTTTTTAAGTTTCCTAAATTGTTGTAAATTCAGTAAACATTTCATTACCCATGTCTTTGATACAGTCTTAACTATACATTACTAAGTGGTATCCTATTAAAATTGTACAAGGGAATTAATCAGTTATGTGACTAAACACATGAAACAGAAAATCACAAGAGACAAAATCCATCTAACCAGAAAAGTTTAGACATAGCAAAAAGGAGCAGGAAAAGGTTATGCTTTCAAGAATTAACATCTAGAAGCACTTCTAGATTGGTGGAGTAAGAACTTCTGAAAATCTGCTGCTCTGTAAGCATAATGAGAACCCTAGCAAAAATCATCAAAATCAAATTTTGCTAACCTCTGGAAATTAAAGACTTACAACAACCTGAGGGGCATTTATTCAGGAAAAATGGCTGACTCTAGGTAAGAACAGCAAGCTTTACAGGATTTTTTTAACTTGCCTATCCAATTCTGTGGTGGCCTTGAAAACCAACAGCCTCACAACCACTAAAGAGAGTAGGATGGCTTGGAGCTCTCCCAAAAGTCTCATTCACAGTGTTTGTCTTTATTTGATCTGATTCACAGCTAGATCAGCGAGAAACTATACCCAGGGCATTTTTCAAAAACACTGGTAATTGTTTAACATCTCAGCAGCCTGAGTTTGTGATACTAGTTGGGGCAAACAAGATTGTGGTCAGTAAATCTTAAAAATCTAGGTAATAAGATGTCCGTGGTGGAGCTTTGAAAAGCTCCAACATATTCCTGGGAATTTAGAAGGCCATGCCTTCTAGTCCACATGCAGGGTTATATACATGCCCAGGAGAGACCTGGGAAGATCCTAATCACTCACTTCTAGCTGACCTTGATGCTCTGTACAAGTTAAGAAGTGAAGGCTAAAATAGGCTCATAATCTGCCAGGCACTGGAGGCATGTTCTACCTCATGCATACACACACACACACACACACACACACACACACACAAAATCCATGGCAAAGAGAAGGAGACTTATCAGTTCAAGGCAATTAAGGAAATCTCTTTCCTATCATTAGTAGACTAAGCTAACAAAACAGAGACTTCAGTGGGTGTATGTGACAAAGAATACAGACTTCACAGAATTAGTCCAGGAAAGTCACTAAACAAACAGCAACAATAACTAGCAACAACAATAAACTCTGGGAAGTGAAAAAAATCTAATTTCCAGAGTTGCCACACTGTATTATGTAAAATGCCCAGTTTTCAACAAAAATTTATGAGACGTACAAAGAAACAGGAAAGTAAACCCAAACACAGAAAAAAGTACAGTCAAAAGAAACTTCCCTTGAGGAATCCCAGATATTAGATGTACTAGGCAAAGACTATAAATCAGCTATTACTAAAAGAAACGAGTTTAAAAGTTAAAGGAAAGTTTAAGAATAAAGTCTGGCTAAATATAGAATGATCAATAAGGAGATAGAAAATATTTTTTAAAAAGACAAATTCTGCAGTTGAAATGTAAATTCACTAGAGGGGATCAACACCATATTTGAGTTGGCAGAAGAAATAATCAACAAACTTGAAGACAGGTTAATTGAGAATATCCGGTCTCAGAAATGGAAAGAAAAATAGATGAAGAAAAATTAACAGTCTTAGAGACCTATGGGACACCATCAAGCACACCAACATACAACTCCTCATCAGAAACCATAGAGTCCAAAAGGCAGTCAGATGACACACTCAGAAAGCTGAAAAAGAACATCTACCAAAAATGCTATATGTAGTAAGGCTATCCTTCAAAAGTGAAGGAGGGGACACCAGGGGTGTGTGTACAGAGAGAGATGATCATGTGAAGAGACAGTAAGAGGGAGGCCACCTGTAGGCCAAGAAGAGAGGCCTCAAAGGAAACCAGCCCAGCGAGCACCTTGATCTTGAACTTTCAGCTTCCACAACTATGAGAAACCAAATTTCTGTTTAAACAAGAAAAAGTGAAAAAGAAATTAAGACAGTACCAGATAAACGAAAACTGAAATAATTCATTGTTAACAGACCTATCCTATACGAAATGTTAGCAGGAGTCCTTCAGGGTGGGATAAAAGGATATTAGACTAACTTGAATCCATATGAAGAAACAGGGTACTAGTAAAGATGAACTATATAGGTAAATATAAAAGCCAGCATACATATTTTTATTTGTATCTCTTTTCTTTTCTATCTGACTTCAAAGACAGCTGCATCAAATACTAATTACCAAGCTATATAGATGGGCTCATAATGTATAAATATGTAATATGTATGATAATAATAGAGGAAAGAAAAATGGAGGGAACAGAGCTTTACTGAAGCAAAGCTTTTCAGTACTACTGAAATTAAATCACTATTAATCCAAATTAGATAGTTTTAAATTAATATGTTAATTATAATTCCTAGAGTGACCACTAAGAAAATAACTAAAAAAAAATAGCAAAGGAAATGACAAAATAATTAAACCGGTGCAACTAGAAAATGTCTAATACAAAAGAAGCCACTAAGAGAGGAACAGTGAAACTAAAAGACCTAAGGCATACAGAAAGCAACATGGTAGACATAAATCCTACCTTATCAGTAATTACATTAAATGTAAATAGACTAAAAATGTATAATATCTCTGCAAAAAATTACTCAATATATGGCTCCTTTAGTTTTTATTACAGTAGTTTTAAAGATGTTGAAGATAAATATAACTATCATGGCCCAGATTTGATTTTTTTTTTAACTTATTACGTAAATTTCAAATAAACACAAAAATAGAGAAAATACTAAAATGAACCTCATATACCCTAACTACAACAATCATTAATTCATGGTTAGCCTCATTTTATCTATACTCCTAACCTACTTGTCCCTACCCTATAGTGGATTCTTTTTGAAACAAATTCCAGATATCATTTAATCAGAAATGAATAATCTGCATACATTAGAAATTAATAATCTGCATTTTGAAAAAAATTAGATATTCATTTCATAGTAATATTATAGAAAGAGGGAAGATATATTAGCATCAGAAAATAGTAACTAAATCTAAGATAAATTTAAGAAGCAATGCTTTAATTTATTAAAAGTCCCAAAGAAAATGTGAAAAATCTGAACAAAGCTCTTTTCAACCTAGTTTTCATTCCAATACCTGTCTGTTTTCTCAAGATTCCATCCTATTTTTGACCTAGTTAGTGAGGTGGTGTTTGATGATTCACTTTTTCTTGTCAAACAATCATTAGTATTCAAAATTTGCTCCAATAGTCTTACATTTCCTGAAATAGAAGAGATATAGTATCATTTTCCAAATACTAATTCATTTCTCTTTTATATGATATCTCATATATTTGTATTCTGGCCTAAGTTAGTTTCTTATGATGACTATCTACTCAATTTATAGCCTACAGTGTATCCTACAATGTAGGCTATAAATATACTTATCAAATAAAACTAAATATTTATACCTCATAAAAACTATACCACAGGCTGGGTGCAGTGGCTCACGCCTATAATCTCAGCACTATGGGAGGCCAAGGTGGGTGGATCACCTGAGGTCAGGAGTTCAAGACAAGCCTGACCAACATGGAGAAATCCCATCTCTACTAAAAATACAAACATTAGCTGGGCATGGTGGTGCATGCCTGTAATCCCAGCTACTCGGGAGGCTAAGGCAGGAGAATCGCTTGAACCTGGGAGACGGAGGTTGCAGTAAGCCGAGATCGCACCATTGCACTCCAGCCTAGGCAACAAGAACGAAACTCTGTCTCAAAAAAAACCCAAAAAACAAAAAACTATATCACAACAATATTAACTCATGGCTAGCCTCATTTTATCTATACTCCCAACCTACTTGTGGCTCATGCCTGCAATCTCAGCACTTTGGGAAGCTGATTGAGGCCAGGAGTTTGAGACCAGCCTGTCTCTATAAAAATAAATAAATAAACAAAGAAGTCTGAATTCACAGAAAAAACCCTAAATTTATTTTCATCACAGAAAAAAAGGAATTTGAGTGAGAAGTGTCATCATCACAAAGTCCAGCAAAACAGAAGATTTTTATAAATGTAAAGATGAGATTTATCTATTTCTTCAAAGTACCAATTAAGTGGATCTATCCTTTAGCCTTGTTTGTATGTAGTAAGACTACATAATAATTTTTGTTGAGAGACTGCCTTCTTTATCAAAGATTTTATTATCTTCTGACTTTCTTAAAATTCTTTAAATGTGCCTAAGACAAGACTTGCATGCATTTAAATGATTCCAAGAAAAAAAGCATTTAGTTTAATATTTCATTTACTTTTGTTAGAAGGGGTATATTTTAAGACTCAGTAACACACTATTTTTCTTTTTCTTTTTTATTTCTGTAGATTTTTGGGGAACAGGTGGTATTTGGTTACATGAGTAAGTTCTTTAGTGGTGATATGGGAGATTTCAATGCACCCATCACCTGCGCAGTATAAACTGAACCCAATTTGTAGTCTTTTATCCCTCATCCCCTTCCCACCCTTTTCCCACAAGTCCCCAAAGTCCTTTGTATCATTCTTATGCCTTTGCATTCTCATAGCTTAGCTCCCATTTATGAGTGAAAACATAAGATGTTTGGTTAATACACTATTACTTGTGGTCCCTTATAAAAGTTGTTGTTCTGTATTAAAAAGTTCACCTATTAGCACTTTTTCTAAGTAAACATGGTAATAGATGTTAAGTTTCTCTATGTTTTATTATTAAAATCCACACCTAAAAACAATATGAGGAAACATACTCTAAAAATGATTAGCCTTACCTTCAGCAAAGCATTTTTTTTTAATTTATTTATTAATAACAAAACCTGGCCAGGCACAGTGGCTCACATCTGTAATCCCAGCACTTTGGGAGGCTGAGGCAGGCAGATCGCTTGAGCCCAGGAGATTGTGACCAGCCTGGGCAACATAGCAAAACCTTATCTCTATGAAAAATACAAAAATTAGCCTGGTGTAGTGGCATGCACCTGTTGTCCCAGCTACTCAGGAGGCTGAAGTTGGAAGATCAACTGACTCTGGGGAGGTAGAGGTTACAGTGAGTCATGATCACACCACTGTACTCCAGTCTGGATGACAGGGTGATACCTTGTCTCACAAAAAATAAATAAAAATTAACAAAACTTGTTCATTACAGGTTTAAGTAATAACCTGTAAGAGATAGAATAACTATAAACATATACCTCCAATTACTTTTACGAAGAACCTAAAGAAGCTTGATTTTCCCAGAAAGTATCATTTAAAGTAAAATATTACAAATAGAGATCCCAATTTAGTTACGACTAGGCACAAAAAAATCTCATGAAAATTTCCTAATTTGGGATAGGTCTAGTAAAAGTCTCTATTACCTCTGTGACATGACACTTCCATATTTTCTTTTTCTTCCAAAAGATTTTCCCTCTTTGATAGTTCATCATCCCTTGAAACAGGTATAGGAGCAAATCTGCGAGGTGCTGGTGTCTCCAAAGGAGATTTCTGTTTATCAAAACTCTTATCTTCAATTTCTTTTAAAGGTACTTTAACAGAAAATTTTTTTTTAAATTAGCTTGCTTTTAAGAAACTTTTAAAATAATTGCATATTACTCTTTCCTACAGGTTAAAAATAAAGCCAAAAGGCCGGGTGCGGTGGCTCACGCCTGTAATCCCAGCACTTTGGGAGGCCCAGGCGGGTGGATCACGAGGTCAAGAGATCAAGACCATCCTGGTCAACACAGTAAAACCCCGTCTCTACTAAAACTACCAAAAATTAGCTAGGCATGGTGGCGTATGCCTGTAATCCCAGCTACTCAGGAGGCTGAGGCAGGGGAATTGCCTGAACCCAGGAGGCAGAGGTTGCGGTGAGCCGAGATCACGCCATTGCACTCCCGCCTGGGTAACAAGAGCGAAACTCCGTCTAAAAAAAATTAAAAAATAAAAAATAAAAATAAAGCCAAAATTATAAATAACAAATTATTAACAAGTGTAGAGAAATAACTTTGTCCCCATTAAAAATCAAAAGAAATGAAGACAACATACATTTTATACTTGCATCTAGTAAACAAGAATCAATATGATAATATTCAGAACTATTGAAGCTGTGATGAAACTGGGAGAGTCAGACACTTCTCATGGCAGTGAAAACTGATAAACCATCTGGCAATAAGTATAGGAAGAATTCAAGTTTTATATACTTTAACCTTAATCTTACTCTTGTGAAATTATTCTAAGAAAATAATATAAAAGAAAGAAAATGTGCTTTAAATATGATGATGTTTATTACAGTATTATTTATGAAGATGAAAACCTGAAAACTGCCTGAGTAGCCAAAACAGGATAATGGTCAAGTAGACTGTGAAACAGTTATTCAATAGATCACCTTTAGTCATTACAAATTAAAATTATGAAGACAACTAACTATATAAAATATGGAAAATCCTTTTATGTGCTAGTAAAAAAGCTGTATAAAATGCTACAACTATGTAAACATGATATATGCCCAAGAAAAAGCATAGAAAAATTAAAACTTTAACTTACTGAACTTTTAATTTACTCATTTTTTCTTTTGTTACTGTAACTTATATATACAAAGAAATAAATTCAGTTTACAATCAATAAAATAGACACCTTTTTCATAAAAAATCATGCTTAAGGCCGGGCACGGTGGCTCAAGCCTGTAATCCCAGCACTTTGGGAGGCCGAGGCGGGTGGATCACGAGGTCAAGAGATCGAGACCATCCTGGTCAACATGGTGAAACCCCGTCT